GGGGTCAGCCAGGGAAACCGCAACCGGCCGACTAAGCGGCGTGAGTGTGGTGCGATCCCGAAAGAAGGAGCGAGACGCCCCAGAGTCAAGGGTGAAGGTGTGGGAGGCCGAAGCCGACGTAGTACCTGAGAGCGCAGACTCACCAGTACCTGAGGACGCAGACACACTAGCACCTAGAGCAGCAGCGTTGCAAGTACCTAGGGCAGAAGCCTCACCAGTACCTAGAGCGGCAGTCTCAATGCCCAGGTCGGGCGGAAAACACCGGTAAAAGCCACCCTCATCACTAATGGTCACAGCATACATGGCAGCAAGGATAGCATCAAAGTCAAGATCAAAAATAGCTACGCCTGCCCTAGACAGCTCTCCCCAGCGGGGGATCTCCGTGGCCTCCGGAAATTGCTGACGCCAAGCGTCCGTCAGGCGGCCAAAACAGCGCTGGGTGGAGTGGGCACCCCCACACTGCTCACCCGCATGATCGCCAGTGCGAAGGACGTAGGTGCAGGGACCAAGTCCCCCACCACGCTGACGCTGCGTGTACCACTCACGGAGCTGCTGAGGGGTGGGGACGTCGCGAGAACGCTGCTGCTGCTGGCGCTGACCACCCCTAGTGCCGCTCCGCTGTGAAGTGCCAGTCCGACCACCTCCACCACCTCCACCTCCACCGCCTCCACCTCCGCCACCGCCGCCACCCCCGCCAGTACCGCCGCCGCCGACGCCGCCTCCGCCTCCACTGCTACCACTAGCACCCCCACCCCCACCACCTCCTCCACCGCCACCCCCACTCCCTCCGCTGCCTCCACCTCCACCGCCACCGCCCCCGCTAGCCCCACCTGCTCCCTTGCCCCCCTTGCCCTTGCCAGGGCGGCGTCTCCCGCTAGGGGCAGATGCCGCACCGACCGACTCAAGACCAACAAGGTCGGCCGCAGCGCCAGAGGCGACAGAGGGCAAGAGAGGGGAAGGGGAACACCCCTCAAAGATGGGGGCGCGGGGGTCACCTCGAGAGGCTCCTACAGCGACGATGCTCTTCTCCGCCGCGAGGAGGGCCTTCTCTAGGCTGTCGACTGTGAGAGTGGTGGGACAGACCGCAAGGAAGTGGTCCCGGACTACACGAAGGGAGTCGGGGAGGCGGGTGACTAGAAAGTAGAGAGTGATGTACATGGGGGGGGGGGTTCTAAGCGCAGAAGTCAGCAGGAAGCGCAGCGCGGTAGCGGGTGTCACTAGTGCGGAGGTGCGTAATGAGATCAGCGACTGTGGGAAAGGCGGCAAGGTCAAGGAAGAGGAAGGGTAGCATGAGGCGGCTCAGTGCAGCAGTGGCAGGGGAAGAGTAGCGCGCAACTACAGCGTCGTACAAGGTCTGAGCACTCTTGTACTGACTAAAGTGCGCGCGCTCAGCGGTAGGCAGGTGGCGACGCACACCAAGACGTGCAGCTGCATCGCGGGTGGCCCACTGAGAGCGAACAGTGGGGTCAGCATCAGCAGCAAGGGCAGGAGAGGCGCCAGAGGTGAGGTCAAAAAGAGAAAGACCGTCCGCCCTATCGCACTGTAAAAACAGCTGCAGGTCGTCGACCCAGACCTCGAAGTCAATGGCTCGACCCTCAGCGTCAAAAGCGAGGACACTAGGGGTAGCCATGACGACAGACTAGCAGTGCAAGCAGTGTGGGAAGGGCACGCAGTAGCAGTGGGGCTGTGCTCACCAGACAGGGCAGGTCGGGCGGCTCGGGAGTAGTGCGGCTCGGCTGCGGGGCGGCTCGGCGGTACTGCGGCTCGGCGGCCCGGCGGCTCGACGGCTGCTGCTGGGCGGCTCGGCTGGACTGCGGCTCGGCGGCTGCTGCTGGGCGGGTCGGCTGCTCCGGTACCGGGCGGCGTGGCGGGCGGCTGCTCGGGCGGCTCGGCAGGAGGGGAGACCGGTGGGGTCGCGAAGGTGAAGGCGGCGGGGCCGCGTAGGCACGGGCGGCGAGGCTGAGAAGGTGAGGGCGGCGGGGCCGCGTAGGTGAGGGCGGCGTGGCCGCGAAGGTGAGGGCGGCGAGGCCGCGAAGGTGAGGGCGGGAGGGGCCGCGAAGGTGAGGGCGGCGGGGCCGCGGAAGTGAGGGCGGCGAGGCCGATGAGGTGAGGGCGGCGGCGCCGCGTAGGTAAGGGCGGCGGGGCCGCGTAGGTAAGGGCGGCGGGGCCGCGTAGGTGAGGCGGCGGGGCCGCGACGTGAGGGCGGCGGGGCCGCGACGTAAGGGCGGCGGGGCCGCGACGTAAGGGCGACGTGGCCGCGTAGGTAAGGGCGGCGGGGCCGCGTAGGTAAGGGCGGCGGGGCCGCGTAGGTGAGGCGGCGAGGCCGCGACGTGAGGGCGGCGGGGCCGCGACGTAAGGGCGGCGGGGCCGCGTAGGTAAGGGCGGCGGGGCCGCGACGTAAGGGCGGCGGGGCCGCGACGTAAGGGCGGCGGGGCCGCGTAGGTAAGGGCGGCGGGGCCGCGACGTAAGGGCGGCGGGGCCGCGTAGGTAAGGGCGGCGGGGTCGCGTAGGTAAGGGCGGCTTAACGGGCCGCTAGGGGCGACACGAAGGGTCGCTAAAAAAAAGAACGCACGCCTCGGGGCGCGCTTCGGTGGGCCCTAGGAACAGTCCCTAGGAGGGGACCTGCTCTGATTCCATGAGAAGAAGTGAACGAGGATGGAATGACTATGAATGAAGTGAGTACATATAGGAAACCCTAATTGGGTTGTACCCCCTATGGGATACCCCACTATAGCCTACACAAATAAGTAAGCTATAATGTTCTGACAACCATTACCAGAATGACAACCTTCCAGCAGCTGTCATTCTGCTGTACGAGAACGACCCGAAGGCCTACCTCCTTGTAACCAGCTTTAAATTCCACTTCCTGTTGTTTTTCTTGGCTGATGTGTTGAAGGAACTCGACGCACTCAACCTCAAGTTCCAGCGACGGCAGGTACGTTGTTACGCTCGTTGCTTTGACGGGTTTTGTATTGTGATGTTGAACCGAACTTCTGTGACACTGACCCGTGCAAGCCTTTCCACGGCCTCTCATGTGTGTGGCAGGTTGATGTGACACACGTGCTGCAGATGGTGGACAACACCAGGCTCACCCTCCGCAACCGTTACCTGAGTGACGCGGACGACTTCGGAGAGGGGAGCAACGAGCTGAGCGCCTTTTTGGCGAAGCATGCGTCGTCGGAGAAGAGGGTGGTGAAGGTGACGGGCACCGACTCGACTGGGGCGCCAACCACTCATGAGTACACCCTCCACGAGCAGAAGATTAAAGGTCAGAAATCTGGCGGGGGCTTGGACGACTGCATCACACTGGCGAAGGGGTACGTGAAGGAGCTACTGAAGTGTTTGGAGAGCCGGATGAAGGATTTGGGCTCTCTCGAGGGCGCCAAGTTGTTCACGCAGGGGGCGTACCCGAAATCTCACTCGAAGCGGCAGCGGCGGTTCTTGCAGTGGCTGGAGGCTCTCCGCAATCTGTTTAAGCGAAAACCGACCGACCCTGACACCCTGCCAGGTATGTCTTCGATGTCGGTTGTGCCTGATTGAGTCGAACATGTTGTTTGTGTCGCCATATGCCTCGTTCATTTCTTTGAGCCTGGTGGATTATGAACACCAGCGCGGTCTAACATTACACTTCTTTCTGATTCGCACCCTGCCACCAGGAGTCAACTGGACGAGGGCACAGAAGGAGCTCAGCAGTTTCACCACCATCATGTCAACCCATCAGCAGGAGCTGAGCTTCCAGGACGGCATGAAGCAGATGCTCAACTCCCCCGACTGGTGCACTGCCTACCCCAACCTGGTCCGCCTTTGGATGGCAATCGCAGTGCTGCCCCTGAGCACCGTGGAGTGCGAGCGGGGCTTCTCCCGCCAGAACATCATCAAGAGCTGGCTACGCGGCAATCTTAACGACGCGAAGCTGGGCGACCTGATGACCGTCTCCATGCTGAAGTACGAACCTGACTGGCCCGCCCTTGTGGAGCTGTGGAGAGGCGCGAAGAGGAGGCGTCCAACCAATGATGTGGTGATGGTGCATGCGCAGAGGCCCGTGAAGCGCACGAAGAAGACCCTTGCGATGATGGCCGCGAAGCAGGCGGCAGCAACAGCAGCAGCAGCAGCAGATGCTGCTGCTCGTGAAGCAGCAGCTGCAGAAGAAGCAGCCAGGCTAGAGGAGGAGTTGGGCCCCTGGCAGAGACGGGCAGGCCACGGCAAAGTGCACATGGCTTCAGATTCAGAGCTAGACGGGGACGATGAGGAAGATTATTCTCATGATAGCGATAGTGAATCCTAGTTCGTATTCTTTGTATGGTTATCTGTAGAAATAGAGTGTAGTCTGTGTGTAGAGTAGACTACACAGTTACATAAATGTCTGATTTCGTAAAAAACTGTCTGAGCGGACATACTAACTTAGAAAATCCGTCTGAGGCAAAGACCATCAGGAATCCTCCATATGAGGGCCAGACGAATTTTATTTTTTTTTGGAAAACGTCAGACGGGCCTAAAAGTTAGCAAGAGCCCTGACCACCTTGCGCTGGTATGTGAGGGCAAAGTAAGTTCATTAAAACAAGCAAGTACAAAGGTTTATATAAGAGTACAAAGAATACGAAGAGATATAATTAAACTGTTTTAGTGTTGCAGTTCGATACAGTGCGACTCAGGCAACTGCTCAATGTCGAGTCAGTTGTGTGTCCTTGCGGTCGCGCTGCATTTGTCAAGTCAAAGGTCGCTGACCTTTGACCTTCGCGTAACCTCCAGCGGTTACTTCAACCTCCGAGGGTTGACTCGCTGGTGCCTCGATATGCGGTGCTTCGCTTGTGCCTTGGTGGTTCGACACGACAGAGGCGCTTAATATTGTTTGTTCCCAACAACCTGGGGATACCGTAGTTATGGTTGTCTTTTGATGACCTGAAAAATCCGACTCATTTGAGCAATTGACATTTAGGCACTCTTCCTAGTAATATCTGCCTTGAATTTGCACCGCAGCATTGAATTTGAGCTCTAAACATTCACACAGCCCTCCAAGCACCGACAGCCATGATAGGGCTTCCTTTCCACGTCAGCCGAGCAGCCCCCTGTGCATCCTGAATCCCAAACCGCCCATCCTTGCACTCTGTTAGTGCGCGCATGTTCCCCACCGTTTCCTCGCTCAGCGCCACGCGCTCGAACCCCAGGCGCTCCATGCGCTCCTGCCACTGCTCCATGCTCTCGGGCCGCACAACTCGCTGCGCGCCCTCGCACCCCACGCAGTTGACCAGCTTGCGCAGCAGCATGCCCTGCAGCAGCGCGCGCAGCGGCGAGGCGGGTGGCACGGTGTGGTAGAGCGCGTCGAGGAAGGCGGGGAAGAAGCGCAGCGCCTCGTGGAAGCGCGCGAGGAAGAAGGGCGTGTTGAGGCGCGCGTCCAGCTCCGACAGTATTATCAGGCGCGGTCGCAGGCTGTGCATCCACTGCACGGCGAGTAGGGGAGGGGGGGGGAAGGAAGGGGAGGGGGGGGTGGTTTGGGAGAAAGGGGAAAATATGTGGTTTAGACGGCAGTGACGACTGAGTTGGGATGGCTTGAATTGGTGGGGAGGCAGCAGGTCGAGGCTCAAGGAGCTATTGTGGAGTGGCATTTGGCAACAAGAATGGTGAAAAGAAGAGGCGCCGTGGTGGTGCTCACTTTGATGATGGCGTCCCTGGGGTTGCTCCTGAGCACCGTGGCATCTGGAAACGCCATCATGCTCCAACAGCAACACACCAACACCTCCTCCTCCCCCTCCTCACTTCTCTCCCCCGTACTGCCCTCCCCACACGCCCCTTCTCTCGATCCACAACCATCCTCTACCACTCCCCCAGTCCCCACAGCCCCTGACGGCCGCCTGCGGCGTCTCCCAGCGTGCACCATGTGGGGGGAGAACTCATGGGCGTGCACGTGGAGGGCGTGGAAGGACAAGCCTAGTCCCACCATGTCCGCGATGCCCGCCAGCACCTGCCCCACCATCTGCAGCTGCTCTGCGCCTGTCGTCATGCCCGCCATGCGCACCACCTCCAGGTCTATGCACGTCACGTGCACGTGCACATGGGGGGTGGAGGGGGCAGAGGGTGCTGGTGCGGAGGGGGAAGAGTGTGGAGCGGTGGTGGTGGGTGGGGAGTGTTCCATGGCGATGCGGTGCAACAGGGATACCCACTGGGACACGTCCGGGCAGCCGAACACTATGATGTGCACACGCCGCTTGCTGCTGCTACTGCTGCTGCTGCTGCCTGCATTCAGCAGTGGGGATTCTTCCCGACCACCCTCGCCACCCACCGTATACCAGTCACCCATGGCGCCCACGGGCCCCACGCCCTTGTGCGCGTCTGCGTCGCCCCACGCGCGTGAGAGGGCGAGGGAGAGCTCGGTGGCAGCAGCGACATTCACGAAGCTGTAGAGCGCCCACTCCACCGGCCCGTACGTCGGTGGCGCCTGTGCCAGTGCCTGTCCTCGCAGGGTATGCGAGGGAGGAGGGATTAAAGGGGGAGGGATTTGGCGGAGACAAGGGCAGAGAAGGCGGTGGGAAGGGGAAAGGAGTGATGCAGTGGCGGTGGCGCAATGTGGTGCGACATGTACGGTGTTCATGATAACCTTCAGAAACTCCCAGCAAGCTCCTACCATCCCACCAGTGTCCTACACACCCCGGCCAGTGTCCTGTCCTCTGCCCATGCTGCCTCCATGCCCGGCCTCCCAATTCCTGAGTGCACCCTGGGTGGCTGGCTGAGGCCGCCCTGGGTGCGTGCGTGCACTCATGGGTGCATTGCATGGGAGCATGGGTGCATGCGTGCGCACCTGTCCATCCACGACCACGGGGTCTAGCCACGTGACAGCAGCACAGCCCTGGGAGCGAGCGTGCAGGGCGGCCAGGAACAGCCACGCCACGCGCTGTGCGGGCGACCCCTGTGCGCTCGCCTGCTGCTGCAGGCGCCGCGTGAAGGAGCGCAGGCGCAGCTGATGGGGGGAGGGGAGAGGGTGTTGGCGGGTGGATAAGGGAGGGCGTGAGCCGGCGAGTAGTGTTATTGATTGGATGATGGAGGCAGATATGCGAATCTCGTATTATCTGCCACCGTATTATACGTTGGCGTACATACGCAATATGTCGGGTAGTCGTTCTAGAAATACATCAACATATGCTAGAACGGGCAGCTAAAAGAAAATACGGGCAGGTTTCCGGGGGGGGGGAGGGGGGGAGGGGAAGAAAAAAAGGGAAAGGACACCTCTTATTATCTAATCCCTTTGGTGCTATGCTTCCACCCCTTCCGCTGCACGCGCCGCCACCTCGCCCCTCCTCCCATCCTCCATATCGTCCCCACCCATCCACCTTTGCCCTTAAAGAACTGGGGATTTCGGATGTCCCATTCGTTTCTTGAGAATTGTTTTTTTTCCGAGCGTTTTCAAGCGTCTAGCGCAGTTCGTACTTACGCTAGCTGTTACGAAACAAGTGTGACCTGCCAAAGTAGAAGGGCAGGTGACGAGGCATGTGCAGAGGGGGAAGTGCGAGAGCATGACACATATGCGTACACAGTGCGTGCGTGCGCGCGTGCGTGCACGCGTGTGTGTGTGGGGGGGGGGGGGGGGGGGGCACTCACAGTGTCCTGAGTGGCGTGCGCCTCCCCCAGTGCCATCACCAGGTTCCTCACGCGCACCGCCTCCGCCTCCTGCTGCGCGCCCCCCATCCTGCCCGCTGCCACGCCATCACCCGCCCACGACACCTGCAGGCGCCGAGACAAAGGGGGAGTGAACCACAGGGCAGACGTTTCCCGTTCCACTGCCTCTGCCGCTGCTGCGCTGCTGCGCTGACTTAGCACCCTCTCGCCCCGCATGCCCTCTCGCTGCTCCGTCTCAGGAAGCTCCCACGTTGACCGCCCCGTCTGCTGCTCTGGCTCTCCCTCTCCCCGTCTGTGCGCTGCCCGTCCCTCTGCTGCCACCGCCTGTGCGTTTGCCAGCAGCGCCGCGCCCTCCTGTGCTGCTGCGCCCGCCAGCGCCGCTGCCTGTTCCGCCATACCTGCTGCCTCCGCCTCTCCCGCCGCCACTGCTGCTGCTACCCCGCCCTGCGCTGCGCACACCACCGCCGCCCCGCCCACGCGCGCGCCTCCATTCTGCTCGCCCTCTCTCCCCGTGCTCCCCACGCACGTCCTCTTCCGCCGCTCCCCCTCTCCCTCGCCGTTCCGCGCCTCACACCAGCCCCGCCGCCCATCCACGTCCCTCTTTGCCCCCGTCGCCCCCCATGCGTCACTTCGCGCAAGTTCCGCCGCGCGTTTGTTCCCGTCGCGCGCGCCCTCCGCCAGTCCCTTGAGCACCGCCGCCAGTAGCCCCGTCAGGTCCGCGGGTCGGCAAGCGTTCCCGCGCGGAGCAGCTGCGCGCGCGTTGCTGTGCGCGTCCGAATTGGCGGAGGCCGTCGCGGGCGGCGGCACGACGCCGCCGTGCAGCGGCGCCGCTGCGCCGCGAGGTGGCTGCTCGAACTGTTCCGCACCATTCCCGCCTTCCCTTGCCTGCTCCCGTCCTCCCGCGCCCCCGCTGCCGTTGCTGCTGGCGCACACGAATGTCTGGGGAAGGGCCGCGGCGGAAACGAGGGAGGCGGGGCTCCGGGGGAGGGACGAGGCGGATGCCGCGGTGAGTGCGGGCGGCGGGTGCAGCTGCTGCGACGGGTACGGGTGGCGCACGGGCGAGCAGGGAGCGGCGGGCGAGAGGGGAGCGGCGACGGCATGGGGAATGGGCAGGTCGGCGGCAAAGAGGGAATCGCGGGAAGGGAATTGGTGATGCTGATGGTGATGGTCGCCGGGAAAGGCTCCGGAACATGAATCGAAGAGAGACGCGTCTGAGGGAGTTGAGTCGAGGAGAAACGCACTGGGGGGAAAGGGATCGAGGGGGAAGTCGAGCGGGACGGGGTCGATGGGGGTGCAGGCGAAGAGCGCGTCGACGCACACCTCGGCGTCGGCGTAATCCATGGCGCGGGATCGCAAGGGGTCAGTTACGATGACACGGTGCGACGGGCGCAGTTCAGGAGTGGGGGTGGAGCGAGGGGTGAGTGAGGTGTCCAATATTCACATGGTGCCAATGCCGTGCCTGGGAACGCAATTGAAATAGTGGAGCAAGGGGTGGGCAGCTTTTACGCGCAACGGGCAACACTGGAATCCTGGGCCGAAGGAATGTGACGTCAGAATGACGAAAGCACGTTAAATGTCCGAACTGGGGAAGGTGGCATTGACACAAAAGTAATTCCTTGAAATGCGAATAATATACAGTAATCTGGACCATGCATTATCTAACAGTTTCATTAAATTATATTGCTATTTGTAATTGCTGCTGATAGTATCCACTTTGATCAAACATATGACTCTGAAAAAATCAGGCCTCATGTTGTTACGAATAACAATGGACGAAGATATGACTGTGCACTCCTAACCGCAGCTAAAGAAGCACGCAATACAGGGTCCTCGACATCATACTTTTTTGTCTGTTTGTCTTAGGGTTCATTCCGCTGTGGACACATGTCTCAATCGATGTGTCCCAATCGAGTGTACCGCTCCGAACCGAACTAAACCAGAGACGCGAAAATTTCGAAACTAGGGTGCAATTTGGTGTAATACGATGCAGTGCGGTAGAAACGATTGGGACACATCGATTGGGACATGTGTCCACAGCGGAATGCACCCTTAGTTTCCAGACGGTTTTTTTCCATTTAATCTGATTTTCAAGGAATGATTAATTTTTTCATCTGATTGAGTAGAAATGACTTTTTGTCTTCATCTGATTCATCAGAAGTGTAATACCGTATATGCTTCGTCTGAAATCGAAACATGTTAGAGTACGGGGATTTCCCGCAGAACATGCTCTGACAGGGCGAATATGTTGTCAAAGCAAATCTGCTGAGATCGAATCTCTTGTGTCAGGACGAGATTTCTATGATTGGACGAACATGTTGCGCTCTGACGTCGCGAATCTGCCGTGTCAGACCGAATTTTCTCTGATTGGGCGAATATTTTGTGCTTTGACAGGGCGAATCTGCCGTGTTAGGGCGATTTTGCTGAGACCAGTGAAGTCCGAATCACACCAATGTGTACTTCGAATGAATGTGACAGGTGCAGAAAAGTCAGACTCAACATTTATCCCACGTGCATCTACCTGCTAGAAACTCTATTTTAATCGGTCAGACAATTTCTTTTGAAATTTCTGATGTATCAGACACGCAAAGGCAAAACATCTGATGTGTCTGACGGGCCCTTCGGGGGCCCGTCTGACGCATCAGGGGGGTTCAAATCCTAGCGAGGACCCTGACGCAGTATCTAGAATGAATGTGAAGGGTCAGAATTGACTAGAAGCGTCAGACGGTTAGAGTGGATCGGGACCGTTGGAGCAGACGACATCGGGAAGCTGCAGGCAAGAGGAAATAGGCAGGAACGGTTTTGTAACTGTACGAGCCGCACGGTTGGGAATGAATTTGAATAAGGAAACGTACCCCTTAGAGTACATGGCTAGCTAGGTCGATTCGAATTCCACTGTACTTATATTTATATCATTGTACTTTCATGCTTTCATGATCTCAAGCATTTTACATTCACTCTGCTATTGAGGTCAAGGGCCCACCAACATTGCCTACCAGTATGCGAACCATGCGGTGGGTGAAAGGAGAGACAGGAGAGGACGAAGAGCTACCGGTACGAGCAAGCGCAAGGGGCCAGCACTACAGATGGTACCAGCAGCAGATGCAGGTGCAGACAGAGGATGGGTGGAAGCTGGTGCCGGCCCCAGGCGAGAGAGAAGCAGTGATTAAGGAGGTACACACAAAGCTAGGGCACTTTGGGCATGAGAGAACTGTGCGGCTGTTGAAGACAGGGTGGTGGTGGGAGGGGATGCGGAGGCAAGTAAAGGGGTGGGTGGAAGGCTATGAGGCGTGCCAAAGGAGCAGGGCAAACCTCACCCAAGCCAAGGCGGAGTTGCAGTCACTGCCCATCCGAGGCCTAGGTTTCAGGTGGTCCTTAGATTCGGCGGGGGAGCTGCTGCTGAGCCGGGGAGGGAAGCAATGCATAGTGCTCATGGTCGAACATGTGAGCAACTGGCTGGAGGTGAGGGCTATCCCAAGCAAGAGCTCAAGGCACGTGGTAGCGGCGTTCAAGGAACAAGTGGTATGCAGGTTCAGGGCATGTGCAGAGGTCCTCACGGATCAAGGGACAGAGTTCCAAGGGGAGTTCAAGAAGCTGCTGGAGGAGACAGGGATTACCCACAGGCGCACTTCTCGGCACCACCCATAGAGCGATGGGCTGACTGAGCGACTGGTGCAGACCTTGAAGCGGGGATTGCGAGCGTACGGGGAAAAGAGGAAGCGGGACTGGGATGAGGAGTTGCATTGGATTGCAGCAGGGTATAGATTCGGGAAGCAGGCGGCCCTGAGAGATCACTCTCCTTATAGTCTCCTATACGGATGTGAGCCGCTGCTGCCGGTGGGAGCAACACGGGTCCTCAGAGACACGGTGGCGGCAGGAACAATAGAGAACTGGGTGGCACTGTCAGAAGCGTGGGCAAGACACCTACGAGTGATGATGCCAACGACATTGGAGAATCTCCACACCGCCCAACTGAGGGATGCTCGGCGCTATGAGCAGCGGCAGCAGCAAGGGGCGGGGGGAAGACCCAGGAAGGGAGTGAGTCAGGGGCAGGAAGTGTACCTGATGCGAACAAAGCAAGATACGCTGGATGTTGGGGTGGGCTCAGAGAGGTGGAGGGTGAAGGAGGTCCGTCCCTCAAGGATCTTGGTTTTGGAAAATGACAAAGGGGCACTCCTGAAGGAGCACCAGAGTAACACGGCCATGGTGAAGGGGGGCAAGCCTCAAGAGAAGGGTCCTGTGACACGAGCTCAAGCAGCTAGAGCACGAGCACAGGAGGGGGCAGTGGGTAAGTGAGGCTATGCAACACGGAGAAGGAAGAAACAGGAGAGACAACATGAGAAGAATAGGTGCAGGGAGAAGAGCAGGTGCAGGATGAAGAGAAGGTGCATGAAGAAGAGCAGGGGCTGAGAGGAGGAAGGTTTTCCGACAGTTACTCGCGCGCTTCCCCAGCCACCCTTTCATCGCTGCTACTACTGCCACTGCCTGCCATGGCTACTCTCACTGTCCTAGCGGTTGACACCGACGGGCGCCCTTTCATGTTCGAGTTCCGGCTCGCTTGCCTGCACTGGTATCTCCGGCGTTTCCTTAGAGACGGTGTCTCCTTGCCCGAGCACACGTCGGGGTCACTTCAGGCCCCCACGACTCCCTCTGAGTCTGCTGCTGACATTGGGAAGACCGTGCGGCGGCGGTATCGGGTGGAATGTGTTGCCTACACAAAGTGGACGTAGCGCAACGCTGTCGAAGAGCTTGCTGTTCTCTTTCACCTGCTGGTCAACTAGGTGACGGTCAGCCTACACTTTCGTCAGGTGACGTTGGCCCACACTCTCTACAACGTTGTGGTTAGGCACTACTCCTCACTCTCTCCTGCCACTCGGCCACTGTGGCAGAGCCGTCCGTTGTTAGGGGAGGTCAGCAGCTGGTCGAGGCGGCGAGTACAGGTACCTGTACGCCTACTCCAACTGGTGGTGCAGCTGGTGGCCTCGGAGGTCCTGGGGGTGGACAGCGGCGGCAGCAGCGTCCGCCAGAGACCCTCCCACCGCATCACCTTCTTGAGTGGGATGTCCGGTGGGGCAGCCCCGGTGGCGGAGCTTGAGGTACTGGTGCTGGAGGCGCTAGTGCTGGAGGTACCGGTGCACGTCAGGAGGAGACTCTCTCACCAGACCGGCTTCGTGACTGGGCTGTCCGGTGGGGCGGCCTCGGTGGCGGAGCTGGATGTGTTGGAGCTGGAGCTACTAGAGCTGTAGGTGTTGGTGCTGGTGGTATTGGAGTTGGAGGTGCTGGAGGTATTGGTGCTGGAGGCGCTAGTTCTGGAGGTACTGGTGCACATCGGCAGGAGAATCTCTCGCCGGAGCGGCTTCGCGAGTGGGTTGTCTGGTACGGCAGCCCCAGTGGCAGAGCTGGACGTGCTGGAGCTGGAGCTACTAGAGCTGTAGGTGCTGGTGCTGGTGGTACTAGAGTTGGAGGTCCTGGAGGTACTGGTGCTGGAGGCGCTAGTGGTGGAGGTATTGGTGCACGTGGGCAAAAGATACTCTCGCCGGAGCGGCTTCGCGGGTGGGCTGTCCAGTGGGGCAGCCCCGGTGGCGGAGCTGGATGTGCTGGTAATCCTGGAGTTGGAGGTTCTCGTACTACTAGAGCTGCTGGAGATACTGGATCTGCTCGTGCTCGAGGTACTGGAGCAACTGGTGCTGGAGGTGCTGGAGCTGGAGGTGCTGGAGGTATTGAAGCTGGAGGTTCTGGTGCTGTGGGTACTGCGCCGCTACGACAGTTGTCTATCCACACCCGCTATCGTCCTTGCCGCCGCCTGACTCGGCACTTCGTCAGGTTCTTAGTCTTTTGTCTTCCACTGGCCTTACTCCGCCTTTCCTGTGTCCTCCGCTTGACCAGTAACAGCCACGTCAACTGCCTGCTCCTTCTCCGTACCCTGCGCAGACAGGCTCCCTGGCAGAGCGTCGTGAGCCTGAGTCTCATTGCCTCACCTGTTTGCACTGTCAGTCGTGCTTGTTGTCCTCATCCTCCACTTGTCCATGGCACGCACACTATGGCACTTCGTCCTTTCCCAGTTCCACAGCGTGTTGCGCTGCCGTCTCCTCCGGCGTCCTTCCTGGCGTTCCAACACGAGTCCGACCTTGCACGTGCTGCTAGTCCTACTGTCACACGCTACTTGGCTACTCTTGTCACTGACCCTTTCTTTGAGTCTGCTCCTGTGACTGCCTTAGTCACTGAGCTCGTTGAATTTTCTTCTACCTGCTGTCTCGACTACTTCGCGAGTCTTGTTACTGATTTTGAGTCTTGCTGTCCTCCGCCCATTGGAGGTGAGCTTGCCCTTGCCAGTGACGTCCTTG